TAAGCCTGCTGGTTCAGGCTCCTTTCGTGAATGAATGGTGAATGGCTGGAAACATAATCTCTGGGCTTGTCAAGCACTGGCCTGCTCTTACAGTACTTACACCACGGAAATGACCCCTTCTTTGACCATAGTGGTGATGACAGTGCCCTTTCCCTGTGTCATTAGTACTAACTTTGCACCTGTGTGGGCAAATGGGCTTAACACCAACCCTGTTGGAAACTAATAATGCTAACTCCTCTCTGGGCCCTGCTTTCTTCGGTTTGGGGATTTTGAGTTCGTTCTGAAACTTTTCTTCCACCTGCAGTGCACTGTCTTGAGGTGAGTAGGCTCAGAAAGGTTCATAGAGAAGACCCTCTGTTACAAGTTACAGAAATAATAGTTTGATGCACATTGCAATTATAACATTGCATGGTCAAAATGGCAACATGGAACCAGAAATTTTAGCCCCAGCTCCCTTGGAGGAGTTTATCTGTCAAGTGCCCCTGTAATCTTGGTCTTCGTGCTGATAAACTCCTACTGGAACATTATTTTGCTCATTTTCTTTTTGCTTTGCATGAGACAGTTTGATAAAAGCAAAATTAGTCTGACCAAACTGCCAAGAATACAAATGAGATTGCACATTCTTCTTTAGAAACTTGTCCTGTGCTTACCTTCATTTTCCAATTGTATTTCTTAAACAAAATTTGTTAAAAAAAAAAAGTTTAAATTAATGATGGCATTATTCTGTCATTCAGCAGAGGTGTACACTGGGGCTGAATTGGTCCATAAAAAATGAAACCAGATCAGCTCTTTTTAGCCTAGAGTGAATGTAACTGCATGGGAAGAGTATTGTTTTCAGTAAAAGCAAAAAACCCCGATGAGCGTATTTTTTCCTCTGTGCTGCTCAGCTGGTGTATTATACATTTGCTCTGAGAACTTTGGAGTACTAAATAAGTGGGTAGACAGGGAGAGTGTGAGTTGGAAATCTTTTTCCCTGTAATTTTTTTTCTCTTTTAAAGGTGCCCCTGAATTTCCACCCAATTTTCTGTTTTCCTTCTTGCTGCTTGTTATGGTCTCTCGATCTAGCAGCAGCCCCGGTGCTAGAGAGGGGAGGCTTGTACTTCCCAAGGGCTGTGCAGCAGCCTGTTAGGGATGAAGCGCAGCTTGTGTGGTCCTGGGAGAGACCTGCTGGGCAGGAAAATGCTCTTTCTCCTGATGGGGTCTATCCTGGATTGAACGGGACCGCATGGCTTATCCAAGTCTTCTTGGCAAGCCTGTCACCACTTGGAGATAGAGCTCCCACTGAATGATCCACATGCTGTGCCAATTCAGTGGGGAATGGAGAGAATTGCCGAGGATGCACAGTGGCTCCGGTTAGAGAGAGAACTTCCTTTGTGAGCAGAGAAAATTGACTGAGAATGATCCAATTGTGGGCAGCATTTACTCATTTAGGAAAACAAAAAGCAATGCCAGCTGCTTTGAGGATGCCTCAGAATACATGGAGGCTTTTCCCAGACAAATTTACCTTCTTACCTTCTCTGGGAAATACAGAAGAATATTGAAACCTGTTCTGAAATGGTGGATGGCATTTAGAAAGTCCACCTGTGTGGCCCTTGGGAGTCCTATGAAGCATAATTGTTGAGATGGAAGAAAAGGGGTAATACTATTGGTCTCCTGTTACTAGTAGAGACAGTGTAGTTAACCGCTAGAAAATTGGGTTCATTTGTGTCATACCTTGTGCAGAATTCAATTTTTTTTTAAGCAGGTGCACACTAGTACAGTTGCCTACAAAAGTATTTGACATATGCATCGATCTGCAGTAACTGCACATACTATGCACAAGGGTTTTTTTTGTATACAGCCAAGCACCAGATAGAGACTTGTGCCATTAATCATTTAAGCAAAATTTCTTAACCACTGAGCAAGGTTTGAGCTCTGCAGCCCTCACGAGCAGCACTGACAGGACATGGGACAGTTCCTGAAAAATGTGCTGCTCACGCCTTTGTGTGACCCCTTGTACCTAACAGATCCATGAACAAGGCTTCTGCTAAGGGTATAGCTCTATGGAGACTCCTAAAGCTCTTTTGGGACATTTTTAATTGTTTCTAGATGTTTTAAAACAACATTTGTGTTGTTTACTAAAGGCAGATGGTTCAGTTCACCCAGAAGGAATGCCAACAGGCCAAATGTTTCTGCAGCTTTTTCACAAACGGGGTTGATGAAATGGCCTGATAAAACAAGTTTTCTATTAAAATCAATTAGAGTTATCCAGGAATGATAATGAGAGTTTTCTGAATAAGCTGACAGTTTAATTGGGAGCTTGTGTTAAAACAGGTCCCAGGAAACATGCGTTTTGCCAAATAGTGATTCTGACCTTTGTTAATTTGCACTGCTTTTCCTGTAAGTGTTTGTCTTCCTCATTGTTATAACTGATACGAACATCTTTGGCTTAGACTTTCTGTTATATATTGTCTTTTTGCAGCAGGGTAACCCATGCATCTGAGCCTGGGCTTTCTCTCGCCCACCAAATCCCGGCCCAAGGCATAAGCCCAGGGGGTTCTGACCACCCCCAAACAGGGAGTCGGGATCACAGGTCAGTCTCACCTGCCCCTGCGTTTTGGGCTGCCATTTTATCCCATGAAAAGTCCCTTCCCTCAGTATACAATAGTTTCACTGTGGCAAAACACTGTGACTGCTTGGAGGTGCTCCTGCTGATGCAGCGCTAGCTAACCTTCCTCCTCGCCAGCCTGAGGAGTACGAGTACTCTTGAGCCCAGGTCTTTTGCCTTGTTGCATGTTGCGCTACAAGCCAAATCGAGCCGTTGGTCTAGCTATAGGCTTACATGTAAGGACACCTGTGTTTTAAAGCGGAATTTCTCACTCAAAGAAAATATGGATTCTGGCCATCGCTAACGAACATGTGGCCAGAAAGATCAACCCGAGAGCTTTCTAATGGTATCGCGTAGTGGTCTGCTGTAACTCGAGTTTAACCTTTCTGTAACAGATGAATTGAGGTGGTGAACGACGGTCTGTAATACAACCAGACCCAGGAAACCCTGCAACACGGTTGTGCAACAACTGCATGCTTGATACCACGTTACACTTTGTTTTCTAATACAGGAAGCCAGATTGGGAGTGTTTCATGGTTACCAAAAGACCCTTTCAAATGAAAAAAGCAAGTCAAAAGTACTGCAGCAAGTACAAGAAAATGTGTAGTCGCACCTACAATTAAAGCTAGAGCAGAAGTTTATTAGTTCTTGGTGATGCTGGCATCAGCCTGTTGCTTCACTTGCGGTTCATCTGTTGCTGCGCTATCACTTTTGACTTTTTCTTTCTCTAAGAGGCCAAGCTGGAAAGCATAAAGCACTCCTGATTCCTGATAAATAAGCGAGCTGAGGAAGCTACTTAGAAGCACTTGTGGCTGAGGGCGAGTACTTTCTGAGAGCTGTGGCTGTGCTTGCGCGGGGCGGGGAGGAGAAGTTCCAGAGCAAAAAAGGAGCAAAAGAAGTCGAAAAAGTGCTGCCGCTTTTGTCATCAATGTGGTCTGAAATATGGTGGGGGTTGAATGACATGATCTGGCCCAACCTTTACTCATCTGAGCAATCCCTTGCGAGACCTGTTCCCATGTGTGAGGTCATTGGAGTCACTCTCATAAACAAGGATGGTGAGAACTGGCCCAGAAATATCAAAAATAACTTAAAGAGGAATTTTCTTTCCTTTTTTCCCTGTTTCCTATTTCAGAGTGTGCTAGTCTCTATTATATAAAGCTGGTGATCACAAATAATCGTTAAACTGTTGCTATTCTTATACAACAAGAACAGACTTTAAATTGGACCAGGCAGACTCCTGTTTCTACATTGCCCTTCTTTTTTAACATGACAGAAGGGGTGGAATTCGCTAATCTTATTCTTGGGGGCTAAGAGAAACCAGTTACAAAAAAAGAAAAATTCTTCCCTGGTAGTATTACTGTCAGATAATTAAACACCATCTTTATTTCATAGTTTTCATGTAACTAATATGAGTATGCAGCTCAGACTTTTTTCCTAAAATGTGTGGTTTTGGTATCGAGATTGCTTCTGTAAAATGTGAGATAACTCTGCAGCCCACATCCATTAAAGCTTCTTGTGGTCCTACCAAATTAAATGATCATTGAAAAATCAGAGTGTTATTTGCACATAAGTGTAAAAATTGCCACTGTAGTGGCAAACAATTCAAGCCTTTTAACACACTGGGGCCGAAATTCACTCCTGTAGAAAGGGCCAAGCCCAAGTTTCTGTGCTCATTAAGCTATTATCTTGCAATTTATTCTAGGTGAGTGCAAACGTGTGTCTTCAGCAAG